ATTGGTTAATAGGATCATATAGGTTTCAAGTGTATATTTCTGTGATACAAGATCTGCATATTGCATTGTGTGCTCACCACCCATAGTCAAACCATCTTCCATCGCCATATTTTAAGCCCCCAGTTACTCCCACCCCCACCCCTTTCCCTCTGGGAACCACCATACTGTTATCTGTGTCTATGAGTTTCAGTTTTGTATCCCACATATGAGTGAAATTATATGGTTCTTTGCTTTTCCTGACTTCTTTCGCTTAGCATAATATTCGCAAATGGCAGTATTTCATCTTTTCTTGTGGCTGAGTAGTATTTCATTGTAAGTTTGTACCACATCTTCTTCATCCAGTCCTGTATCGTGGACACTTTGGTGGTTTCCATGTCTTGGCCACCGTGAATAATGCTGCAATGAACATAGGGGTGCATATGTCTTTACAAATACATGTTTTCGGGTAGATACCCAGGAGAGGGATTGCTGGGTCATAGGGTAAGTCTGTTCTTCATTTTTGAAGAACCTCCAGACTGTTTTCCACGGCGGCTGTCCCAGTCGGCACCCCACCAGCAGCGAATGGGGTTCCTTCCAGAGAGGTGCTTCTTCAAGGAGAGGGTTTCTCCCTCAAGCCGCAACCCTATTTACTTGTTTTGGTTGCTGACGTCTGTTTCTTTTCCTCCCTTCATATCTCTCTCTCTCTCTCTCTCTCTCTCTCTCTCTCTCTCTCTCTCTCTCTCTCTCTCGTCAGCAGGAAGAACATTCTTGATCTTATCATTTAGTACTTCTTGTGTTTTCTATGAGGACCCAATCTGCACTTTCTGGCATGCAGTCATAGATCAGAGAGCGGGGACATAGAACAGATGCGGGGACGTGGAGAGGGTGTGGGATAAGGTGGGGGACTTAGTGCCTGATGGCCCGGCGTTCACATCCTGCCTCTCCCTTCTACTAACAGTATTGGCTGGGACAAGTTGCCCGACCTTTGCAAGTCTCAGTTCCCCCCCCTATGAAATGGGCCCGCCCTACCTAGAGTTGTTGGGAACCTGGTGTAACATTGAGTGCAGTGCCTGGCCTGAGGGAAGTGCACACTCAGCTGCTGCATTGTTGCTATGGTGATCATTCATTCAACATGGATATTGATCACACTGCCAACATAAACATGGTTCCTACTACCATGGGCCTCATGCTCAGGTGGGAGAGAGAGATACTAAGTAAATAAACAACTAAGGAGAAAATTTCAGGTGGTAATGAAGCAACTATTCCAGCAGTGTGCTAGTGAATGCTTAAGACCAATTCTTGAGGATATAAAAATGAGCCCAGTTTTTAGCACTTGCCCATTTTGGTGGTGTAAATATTCCCACCGTGGCTAATTTCAAACTACCAAAGTGATATCTACTGGCTCTTAAAATTCCTAGAAATTTAACAATTGTTTCTTGCAAGGCTGAAAGAGCTGGCTCCGGCGCTGGATGTATGTAAATAATATCCTGGAAAGACCTGAAGATCTGAGAACGAAATGTATTGGTGGGAGAGAATTCCAAGCAGAGAAGAAGGCTGGGCAAAGGCCCTGAGGTCAGAAAGAGCTTGATGTGCTCAGGGAACAGACGGATGGCTGGTGTTGGCAGGAACCTAACAGGATGGAGGGAGAAGAAGGCAGAGGCTGGGCTGTTGGAAGCCTCACAGACCACGGCACCAAATTTCAATTTTATCCTAAGGCCACAGGAAGTCTTTGGAGGGTTGTAAGCTGGAGAGTACCTTAGTCCAATTTGCACTTCTAAAAGATCACTGGGCTCATCTGTAAAAGACCAGCAAGAGGCCAGTTAGAGGGTAGTGATGGTCATTCCTGGGAGAGGCAATGGTGGCTTGGACTACATGTACCAGCAGGGGGAGGAAACAGAGGTACCTGGATCCAGGTGGGGCCGTGGGGACGTGACAGATTTTATCTGCAGGTGTTCCCTGGGTGTTTACCATGAATACACTCCGCCTGCAATTTCTGCTCTTCTGTCATGGGAGGAGGAAGGAACCTTAGGGCATACAGTCCGTCTACCTACTTTCTTCTCCATACGGGAGGCTGTGTTTACCACTTCCTTCTAAATCCAGGAGGCAGGATGAGGAAATATATTTCTCTTGGCTCCAAATGCAAAGCAAAAGCAAAATCTCTTCTCAACGCTGCCCTTCTTCCTTTGATTTTTGTCACTGACAACAGCGCCCTGTTCTTCCATGTGTGTGGGGGGAAAAAAGATAAGAGGCTCTGCCCTGGGTTTCAGTCTTTGCCCTGCGGTGCCTCTTGGGTGTGGATCAGACACATATGTAAATGCCATGGGCGTCGGCCTAGCAGAGTACGAAAAAGGTTGCCATCTGGCTCTGCTCCACTTCCAACCCCTGTCTCTGTATAGTTTTTAGACGGGGACGGGAGAATTCCATCTTTCTAGGCTGGCGTTGTCCGATAGAACTTTTCTCGATGGCGGAAATGTTCTCCATCTGAGCTGTCCATTCCGTGGCCACTGGCCACTTGTGGCTATACACCAATTGACATGTGCAGCTGAGAAACCAAACTTTCAATTTTGCTTAAGGTTTGTATTGGACAGCACAATGCTAGACTGCATGTGATTATCCACTGGACCTCTGTTTTTGGCAGCTGACTGGAGATCCTGCTGAAATTTTGTAGCACGTTATGGAAGGGCGGGATCTCAGTGAGTGGTCACTCGTCATAGTTCCCCTCAATTTGCAGAGAGAGGCACAGAGGATTAAATGATTTGCCCGGCGTTTCTCAGCTCGGGAGTGGAAGACAGGAACCCATCTTCATGTTAATTTTCACAGGTTTCCAGAAATGCATTCTTCCTATAACATTGTGAATAAATTTTAAATTCCTCTGACCACCTTCTCAATCTTGGTCTCCCCCTCCATCCTTAGAACTGATCGCGGTGTGGTCAGTTTGGAGTTCATCCTTCTACATCTTTTCCTAGTCCATGTACGTGTATATAAATGGGTGGATTGAAAACATTCAGCATGTTTAGAATAAGTTTTATCACACTATCCATATTTTTCTACAAATTGCTTTTCTCTTTCAACAGTATGTCTTAGATCTTTCTGGATCCGTCCAGAGATCGCGACCTTATATATATTTTTAATTGCTGCAGTCTTTCATAGCCTGGTGGTGTCATAGTGCTCATAAGCCTATTATATGACTAATTGTTTATTGTTCCTTATTTTTATAGTAAACATGTTTGTGCCTATCTCCTGCATGCACAATATTTCTTCTAGAAATATTGAGAGATGAAATTACTGGGTCATAGGGAATATGTATTTTTAATTTTAGCAGTTGTTACTCTAATACTCGTTAACATGGTTATACCAGTTTATATCCTATCAGCTGCATGACAGTGCCTGTGTCTCCATAGGCTGCAAAATGCCTGATATGATCAAATATTTACATGTGTGCCAACCTAACAGGTGAAAAATGGATCTCATGGTTGTTTAATTTGCATTTTCCCATTTGTAAGTCAAATTGAACATCTTTACTATGCTATTTGTTTTTCTATGAATTGCCTGTTCAAATCTCTTGCTCATTTTTTCTGTTGGATAGTTTTATTAATTCACTAGAGGCCTAGTGCAGGAAAATTTATGCACTGGAGGGGGGAGTCCCTCAGCCGGCCTGCCCCCTCTCAGAGTCCGGGAGCCCTCAGGGGCGGGAGGTGACCCGGCGATCAGGGGAAGGCAACACCCCATCACACCTCTGCTGCTGCCACTGCTGGCAGCACAAGCCTCGGCTGGCCCTGGGCTGCTGGGCAGCCTCCATCTGAGGCTTGCCTGCGCCTCGAGCCGGCCCTGGGTGACTGGGGGGCTGAGGGTGGATACGGCTGCACCGTGTGCCTGCCACCCCCTTCTCCCCCCCAGTGGGGCTGAAAGGACTGGGGACTCTGGCAGGGCTGAGGGGTCTGGGCGCCGCCATCTTTGTGACTGTGTGATGGTCAATTTGCATATTCCCTCTTTATTAGATAGGATTCAGCAAATATACACTAGGATGTACACCATATGCCCAGCATTATTTTAGATGCTAGGGATTTTGTGGCAAGTTGCAAAAACAGACATTCCTGCCCTCAAAGAGGTGGTAGTCAAGGTGTGGAGGAAAGGAATTGAGGAAATTCCTCTAAGCCAGTGGTTCTCAACCTTCTGGCCCTTTAAATACAGTTCCTCATGTTGTGACCCAACCATAAAATTATTTTCCTTGCTACTTCATAACTGTAATGTCGCTACTGTTATGAATCGTAATGTAAATATCTGATATGCAGGATGGTCTTAGGCGACCCCTGTGAAAGGGTCGTTCGACCGCCAAAGGGGTCGCGACCCACAGGTTGAGAACTGCAGCTCTAAGCGAAAGGAACTGAGGAAATGTATCCTTTGTTAGATGGGACGAAGAGAAGCAGAAGGAGATAGGGAGAGACTTGGGGTAGGACTTGGCGTTCAATAGGACACCTGGGAATCTCATCCTTGACTTACTCACCTGTAGGCATTCTAGATATAATCTGTGTCCTAGTCCTTTGTCTGTCCTATGTGGTACATATTTTCTTCCAGTCTTTCATTTTCTTTGGTCTTAGATGATGGTACTTTTGCCCTGCTCATTCTTTTTATTTATTTATTTATTACAAAATCAAACTTGTTGATTGCAATCAGACATTAAAAAGTGAAAGTTCCTTCTTCCCAGACAACCGTTGTCAAGAGGCGTGTCTCCTCTGATTATTTCTATCCTCACTGCCATGCCACACTCCCGCTCCCAGTCCCCGTCTGCCACTGAAGCATACTTTTTGGCTGTTTCTTAATAAGTGTAGTTTATTGACGCAGTCCCCTCTGGCTGGACTCAAGGTTGCTTCCAGATCTCCATTCCTCGAGACGAGACAGTGATCCTATGCTCTCTCTATGGCCCAGGAGTTTCTTGGATCCTTTTGTTTGTTGGACCCCAGGCTCTGCACCCTGCACATCAATGGAGCTGCCATAACCTGATTCTGTGTTCTCTCCCCCAGCTGCACGGCTACATGGAAAACAAGCCGCTGGGGCTTCAGATCTTCATCGGGACGGCTGACGAGCGGATCCTTAAGCCCCACGCCTTCTACCAGGTGCACCGGATCACGGGAAAAACCGTCACCACCACCAGCTACGAGAAGATTGTCGGCAACACCAAAGTCCTGGAGATCCCGCTGGAGCCAAAAAACAACATGAGGGCGACGTAAGGGCTGGGGCTGAGGGTGGTGGGTCCGAGTGGCAGGGGTTTGGGAGAGGGGACGCCCTGGAGTTGATGGAGCAGCCGGGATGGTGGTTCCCAGTCTGTGATGGACCCAGAGAGATGACTGTTTTAAAGTTTCCATTTTAAAAGTGCGTTACCTAGATATTTTTCATGTGTATTACTTAAGCATCTTTGGTTTATGTTGGTTGGGATGAGACTAAATTCATTGACATTAAAAATTCTATTTGACCTAAAGAAAATTATTAAGTCATGATAGGTCAAAACTCACCAGGTCATTTGCATGTGGCTAAAATTTGGGGACCATTGCGTCCATGTATTGGAGTTGAAAAATCTTTTTATTAGAAATAAATCTCAAACGTACAGGAAAACTGCAAGAAACAAAGAACTCTCTCCAGCATACTGTTCACTCAGATTTGCCAGTTGTTAACCGTTTTCGTATTTGCTTGATCACTCTCATTTTTCCCCGAAGTTAGTTACAGAAATCATGCCTTTTGACTTTTTAAACACTTCCGCATCCGTATCCTTAGAACAAGAATGCATTCTTCTGTGGCCACGGCGCATTTATCAAATTCAAGGTGTTCACGTTGATACACCGCTGTTCTCTATTGGATCTTCCAGAAGCAGTTTCGCCAGTGGCGTGTTTGAGTTTTTCAGATGCTTTTGAGAGTCGAAAAGTTGGCATGAAACAATCTCACTAGAGAAGTCATTTCCCCGGGGAGTGTCTCTAATTGCTTTATAAGTGTTTTACTCCCTTCTCGGTATAAATCCCTGGCTGAAATGTGTATCAGTGCGTTGCAGTTCCTCCCCGTGTCTGGCTGTGGGGTTACTGGGCTTACCTGGCGAAGGTGGCTTTGTGGGTGATCTTTCCCGCTCGCTGAGATGGCTGGCTGTAAATGGGGTTTTCGTCCCCCGGCAGCATCGACTGTGCGGGCATCCTGAAGCTGAGGAACGCTGACATTGAGCTGCGCAAAGGCGAGACGGACATCGGCAGGAAGAACACGCGGGTGAGGCTGGTGTTCCGGGTGCACATTCCCGAGGCCAGTGGGAGGATCGTCTCCCTGCAGACCGCGTCGAACCCCATCGAGTGCTGTAAGTGGGGCTCTGGGCAGGGTCGGTTTTTGGAGTGGACTGTATGTGACACCCCCTCCCCCGCCCCCGCCCCACCGCAAGGCACCCTGGGCCAGGTACCTGGCAAAGGTCACAGGACCCAAGAGTGGGCCCCAGATGACCAAAGTGGCCAGAGCCAGAGCACATTTAAGGGCTTCTCTCTGTTTCGATTTACTTGTGGAGGGTTTGCGGCCTCACAGGAAATTAAAAAATAATACGGCTAATGAGTAGCCCACAGCTTTGTTTAGAACAGGGGTGGGCAAACTTTTTGACTCGAGGGCCACAATGGGTTCTTAAACTGGACCGGAGGGCTGGAACAAAAGCATGGATGGAGTGTTTGTGTGAACTAATATAAATTCAAAGTAAACATCATTACATAAAAGGGTACGGTCTTTTTTTTTTTTAGTTTTATTCATTTCAATTAAAAAATAATACGGCTAATGAGTCGCCCACAGCTTTGTTTAGAAGATTGGAGATGTATAAATGTTCTGGTTTTCAAAACGGTTAGAAGGCGTTGGAGTGAGTTCACCGTACACCGTGTCCTCTTTCTTTTCCTCTGTTTTTTCTTTCAATAAGAATAACGATGATATGACAGTGGCTCTTGCCTGTTGAGCTTGTTGAATACTGACAGCCGTCCTTGGTGATGGCTGGTGTCACCGTGCACATTTCACAGAAGAGGAGGGAGAGATGGGGGTAGGACAACACAACCCCGAAGTGGCAGGGTGGCGATTGAACGGGAGCTTTGGCACCCAGGAGCCATGCTGCCCCATCACCCTCAGCCCATCCCTGTGCGTTTACTGAGAATCCACTGATGTCCGGTGTGGTGCTGGCGTCCTGCAAATGAGCAAGAGGTTTTCTCTGTCCTCAACGAGCTGACATTCCGGTGGCTGTAAAGATGCCCAAGCAAAGAGGCAGGAGGCGGTCAGAGTCCAGTGTGCCGCGGCCGAGCTCTGCCACGGGGAAGGGCTCCGGGCAGAACCCTGGCTCGTTTCTACCAGGCTTTGAAAGAGGCGGCTACTTTGAGCTCATTCTTAGGCACTTCCTGCCAGTTTTGTTGTTGGTTTTGCAATTAGATGGGACAAAGCTTATTGTTTGTTCAGTTGTTGAGAGTTCAGAAATCATCTTTAAAAGCATAAAGAACAAACAAAGTAACCATTTTTTCAGAAACAAAGGCCGTTTATATTATTTTTTTTTAGCCTCTTCTAAGAATATTTTTTATGTTGTTGTAATCATGTTCTATATTCAGTTACGTTTCAGGACTTTTTCTTGGGCATTTTACCATATCTGGGGGTCAAAAAATCGGTTTTCTACAGAAGCCAGGGGAGTGATGGAAATGAGTCAAGTGTGTTGGGTGGGCAACAACCGGGAGGGGTGGGGACCAGGGACCAGAATGACGCTTCCCATCTAAATAGACTGCTGTCACTCGACTCCGGCCAGAATGTCCATGTGGGACTGTGACGCAGTGTGGCCACGTCTTAAGATAAATCAAAGTCTCCTGATTTTTAAAAAGCAGCAACAAATTCAAAATACTTTATGGATCAGATAAAACCTACGGCGAGGGGCTTTGATTAATCATAGGTAGTCTTAATCAGACACTAATGAATAAAGGGCAAGCATGAATATTTTATGCAGAAAGGGCTGAGGAAGACTAGCCCTTAGGAGGAGAAGCCAGCAAGGAGAGAAGCTGGGCCCTCTGCGAGAGAGAAGCCAGCCCTTGGTCTTGGTTGGTCTTTGGAAAGAGATGAAAGAGCCCTCCGATTTCTTCCAGCCTGGGGAGGTCAAGATGAGGAACGGGCCGAATGTGGTGGTGAGTCTGTGCTCTGATGCTAGTAGAGAGACCCAACAGGAGGCCACAAGGGAAGACAAGTGTTGAAAAACATATCTCAGAAACATTGGAATTCCCCTTCTTTACCCAGCAACCCCAACCCCTGTAGCTAGTCATGGTGGCTGCCCGCCCCCCGCCCCCCCTCCCCAGCCCCGCTTTTGAACATCCGAAGATGTTTTGGGAAGGAAACTCAGGCTCTTCCTCTGTGATCTGGGGGGTTTTGAGAAGATAAGGACTCCCCTTTCTGGCAAGTGACTCACTGACCTGGATGGGGCTGTGGTTAGTAGCAAGGTGGGAAACAGGACGCCTCAGGGAGGGCCACACGCAGGGTCCCTCCAGTCAACTTATCTCCTGCTGATCTGAGACTTTCCCGATCATCACCCAACCACAAGCACCTCCCGCGAGATCTTCCGGGCATGGTGAAGCCGTTTGCACCGTGAATGTCGGTTGTTTTTCTTTTAAGAAAGCATTTGGCTGATTCAATGACCTTGCTTTGAGAGATAAGGAAACAGACTTTCTTGGTAAAGTGATTCACTCATTTTTATTCATAGGGAGCAAATCCAGAGTCTCCCGCTTCCTCCTCTATGACATACCTTCTTCTTTTAGTTGCTATGACAGCACTCTATCGTGCAACGCCAAGTTGAGCGACCAATTGGCCACTATCCCTCTCACCACCCAGAATTTTTTGATATTTTTATTTCCTTCTTTGTTCTAAAATCCTAGACCAATCCCTGGTAGTTTTATAAATACTTATGGACTAATTGACTTACCGTGTGAACCTTCAGGAGGTATTCCATAAATATTTATTGACAATTAATCCATCACATGTATTGGCACAGTGTGTGCAAGAAGTATTTATTGATTGATTGACTTTGTGTGTAGCCCTTGGGGAGGGCGCGTGGGTAAGAAGAACACTCCGTGGGCTGGGACCTATTTACGAGGCTAAGTTATTTACTTTGGAGGTGCCTTTTATGTAACATTGGAGGGATCGAGGGTAAATTCTCAGATTCTGGTAGAAAAAAAAATCTTGAACAAACTACTGGAGGCCACTGCCTGGAAGGTGGACCTATTTGCCAGATGTGCCAAGTCCTTAGATGTACCTACAGGCCAGCGTGTCAGAGGTCAAGCCTCACCTTTGCACAGACGGGCGCCTCATCTGTCTAGTCTTCTGTTTCCACATCTTCCGTGTTGTCAAGGAGACACTTTTAGTTCCTCCCTTGTTCTCAGAAGAGTATTTTGAACCTGCTCCAGTCTTCTAAGCTCCGACGCCGCCTTCCCCCGTTCCCACTCCAGGCAGATAGCCGTGCCTCCCACAGTTCCAAGAACATGGGAGAGGTCAGAGGGGCACACCCTCATCTTCCCCAGCAACAAGCCACCCACAGATCACAGCCCTGGGCCTGTCCTCCTCCTCGCACTGGGCTCCTCCGTGTCCTCAGCTCCAGCTCCAAGTTCCCTGTGGGGGTTGAGCCCTTGCTTCCCTCTTGTCTGAGTGTCCATCCTCACCTTATTCACATCTTCAAAGACCCTCTTCACAAGAGATCACATTCTGAGGTTCCAGGTGGACAGGAAGTCTTGGTGGGGGCTCTTCACCCACGACACCTCCTCTGCAACATTCCTTGACTTCACTTTCCTCTCTGGTCCTCAGTTCCCCAACCCACTGGAATCCTTCTGTGACTTGCAGGCTTTCAATGACTCTGTCCCCTCCACCCAGAACACTGGTTCTCAAACTTGGAATCAGCTGGGGAGTTTTGAGAAATATACGTGATGCCTAAATTCTACTGCAGAGCCCCTGAGTTGGTTGGTCTGCATGGAGACTTTCAGAGGGACCCTGGGGATTCTGGGGTGCGGCAAAGTTTAAGACCCACTGACCTTGTTGCCCGCCCCCCTCTGTACCCCCCCCCCTCCTTCCATCAATTGATTAACTCCTTCTTCTCTGAGGCCCCTGGATGGACGGCCCCTTGAGGAGGAAGATTGTTCTGGTTTCACGGGGTAGGCCCAGCAGGTGTTAGCCAGGGCCTGGCACATAGCAGCTGTCTCTAGAATGTTGGTCAAATAAAAAAATAAAAAATGAAAGCATGAAAACAAGCATCTCCGGGCTGCCCGGCAGGAGAGAGAGGCAGCGATGAGCTGTAACGGAGACGGCCATAGTGCAGATCCTTCCGGAGAACCTCCCCGAGGGTCTCTGCAAAGGGGTCTCTGTGTTCATCGCTTTTCAGAAAACACCCAAAGCCATTTCCCACCAAGCCCCGCCCAGCACGTGGATCCACTCTCCGCATTTTGCGGGAATGGGGGGCAGGTCTGGGGCGTGGACTAGAAAATGGATTTCTCCCTTGGTCTTTGAAGCTATCCACATAAGTACGTTTTGCTGTGGGATAATGAAGGGACAATGAATTGCACAGGTTGTAAGGCTTCAGTTCAGTGGTTTTGGACAAATGTATGCCCCCGTGTAAACACCACTCAAAGCCAGACGGCATGTCCCCTACCCCTGAACGTTCCCTGGTACCACCCCCAGCCCTGCCCCCCAGCCCCGCCCCCCCTAGTCCCCTGCGGCTCTGATTGCCATCAGCATAGATCAGCTCTCCCTGTTCTAGAACTTCATATAATGGGATTATGCAGTGTGCGCTCTTTGTGTGCGGCCGTCTGTGCTCAGCCCGATGCCTTTGTGATCCGTCGCTGTGACTGCGTGAACAGTACTGGATTGTATGAATGTAACAATTGTTTACTCACCCTTGATAGACGTTTGGGTTGTTTCTGGGGTTTGAGTACGACAGATAAAGCTGCTATGAACAGGCTGGTTCAAGGCCTTTTGTGGACAAATGGTTTCATTTCTCTGAGGAAAGTGTATGTTCGGTGTTTGTATTTTCACTCTGTACAAGAGTGTGTGAGTTCCACGTCCTCACTAATATTTGATTTTGATAGTATTTTTAGTTGCAGCCATTCTAGTGAGTGTAAAATGGAATGTCCTTGTGCATAAGGCGTAATTTGCATAATTTGAATTTCCCTAATGACTAATGATTCTGAGGCCCAATCCGTGCACTTGTTGGCTGCCTGTATGTCTTCTTCGGAAAGGTGACTGTCGAGAGCTTTTGCCCATTTTCTGTTTTTGGGTTTGTTTCTTGTGTGTGTGTTCTGGATAGAGTCCTTTGTCAGATCTATG